TCTTTCCCTTGGTTCGGGTTTGGGTTTTTTTTTTTTTTCTTCTTTTTTTCCTTCTTTTTTTTTTTTTTTTCCCCAGTTTTTAAATGTCTCTTCCAAAAAAGGGAAAAAAAGAAAAAAAAATACCAGAAAAAAAAAAAAAAAGCCTTTTTCTCTCCTTTAGTTAGCATGCGCACAGTGAAGCAAGTTGTAAAGTGATCTTTAGGTTAACTGTGAAAAAGAATGTATACTGTATACGTGAATTACTTTATGGGGGGAACTAATGCTATATTTTGTTGTTCTTTCATCACTTTGTTCTATTGTCTAAACCTGGAAGCGGCGGAAGAAAAGTTACAATAAAGTTTACAAGCGAGAATTCCGTGACATCATTCTTTTTACCCTGCTCCATTTCCTCCAGGATCACTTTGATAGAAAGGAAATAAAAGTCAATTGTGTCCTAGCTGCAGCCCTGACCATCAAAGACTTCTTTACCCGGAGAGATGCTGCAGGGCCAGGGAGGAGGAACGAGCTGGGGCCGAGGAGCTGCAGCTTGGGAGCTTTGGGAAAGAGGAGGGGGACGGGGAAAATGGTTTTTCTTCTTGTTGTTTTTAACAGTTCCTGGGTGCTGACAGGTTGGAAATCCTTCCTGAAGGTAACGTGCCTTGTTTATTTGCTTCTTTTCTCTTTTTTTTTTTTTCCCCCATCTCTCCTCGTCCTCCTCACTTATCCCCCCGCAAGACTCCAGCCTCAGCTCTGGGTTTTTTTTTTTTTTTTGCTTTTCCTCCCACTTATCTCGCTGTAAAAACCACAGCTGCTCCCTGAGCCTCTCGAGCTGCTGTGCCACGGCCAGAGAGGAGTGCGAGGATGTACATAACCTTGGGAAAGGATAAGCAGCACAAACCTTCCATGTACATCACCATTGTCTGCTTTTCCTGCCTGGAAGACTTTCTTTCTACACTCCCTCCTCTCCCCACTCGCCTTCCCATCCCCTTAAAAAAAATAATTAAAATGAAAACTGAGCCCATTTTGGAAGGTTTCTCTGCTTCTCTAGCAGAAAGCAAATCAGCCAGCTGGTAAGGTTTGACTTCTGATTGTAATTGAGTCCTGCAGAAGCGCTGACACGCTGAACAAGGGATCTGTACACTCTT